TCAAAGAGTAAATCATAACTCCAATAAGAAGGAAACTGGAGAGTTAGTCTGAGTTCCAAGTAAGGGGAAATTCCTAAACTTACATTTAGGCCTAAGAGAGAAAAGATTTTTTCCCCCTCCTAGTCCCCACCCTGGCCCCTACCAGAACTCATCCACCCAGAGTCCCACCTCCCACTATGCAAACCGCACAGATCTTGCACTGGAGCAGATTCCTGCTCCAGGGGGCGAGCAGAGGGCTCCACTGCTGATGGCCACGCCCCCCGAGCCACGAGAGATAGTGGAACCGAGGTCACCGCAGACTACGCCACCCTGGAAACGGCTCACACCTGTGGATGGAGACACCAGGTCAGAATTCTCTTCAGTCCCGGACATAGGGTGACCCAGAATTTTTTGGAACCAATAATGAACTCTCTTCACACTGGAAGGGACCAGCAGTGTGAATCTTTTGAACTGCAGGCAAATCTAAACCCATTGCCGTCTGCTTCTTAAAGCAGTGTGGTTAGCAAATTGGACACCTAACTCTACTTGAACCAGACTAATGTTGAGATGTGTTTATACAATCTTTGAGCAAAATCTGACGGATCACAGTGGAAGAATCATCTAGATTCTTTCATCTTTCTAGGATTGCTAGAAAGATGAGGGGAACAGATAGACACCTAGGCTAAGGACTGTGTATACATTAGGTTATTAAAGATAAAAACGTAAGGGTTGCCTGCAGTGGCCCCAAATAATCAGAATAGACATTAAGTGCTTCTTCTTATTAAAACCACTTGAGACATATTCTGTGTGCAATTAAAGACTTGGGCTTTTTTTGCAGAATCATTTAGGGGGTCAGAACTTGCCACACTGATTAGCTTAGGCTTCCTTGATATTCTAGATAGATCCAAGTAAAGGCCAAATATTTTGGACCATCCATTTGTCTGGATCCCAGAGGCCACAGCTACTACTTTCCTCACTCAGTGCCCCATGGACAGAGATTCGGTCACCAATATTAAGACTATTCACATCCAAAAGAACCATGCCCACACACACCCCCAACTTACAGATATTGACTGAGCCCACGCCTTCACACAGCCTGCAAGAGAGAAGAGAGAGTGAGCATTAGAACCAGGTTTCCCTGCCCTTGCAACAGGCCTATTCATCCTGAAGCAGGGGAGAGGAGATGAGGGGCTGGAGGCATGCCACCCACCTACTGCAGACAGCATCAGTGTTGGCATTGCTCCCTGAGTTCCCCAAAAGGCCACTTTATGCCTCATTTGCTTCTTGGCCATAAAAACTTGATAGTAGAAATAGGGGGGCAGTGGGAGTCATCCTTCTTGTCCCTTGCTTGGCTGGAAATTCCAGCCAAGCCAAAGAATAGGTGATGGGAGCAGCTACTGCCTAACTGGACACCTCTGGGTAGGAAAAAGCTTGCCTATTATCTAAAGTGATTCATTTTAATCCCACGATTTTAAATGCTACCCCAGATATCCATCTGACTTGATAAATGCAGAGGAAGGATGGAAGGTGTGGTGGTTAAGAGCCAGGACTCTGGATCCAAGCCACCTGGAATCAAATCTGGCTGAGCCACTTCTATCTGGATGACCTCGAGAAGTCGTCTAACCTTTTTGTGCCTCAGTTTTCCTAGTCATGAAATAAAAATAATAATACCCACCTTCTAGGGTTGTCATAAGCTCTACATGTAAAGTGTCTACAGACAGAGCCTGGCACACAGTAAATCCAATTAAGAGTTTGCTATTAATATTATAAGTACCTCATTAATAATGAGACATTTATATCTCTACAGTGGGCTTTTCATAGATGCTCCCTCCTCCCACACACTTACCTGTACTTTGTTTCTTTGTCTCCCCCGTTTTTTAACCCCAGCTTCAAACCTTTTCCTCCAAGAAAGCTCTATTCTCATTCACTCAGAACCCTCCGACACTCCACAGCTTATAAATTAGGATATAGCTTCCAGCTCACTTTCCTACCACATGAATCTGACTTTGCCACAGCCTTGGAACTGTCCTCTTCCAGATGATTCTAACCAAGGCCCATCGTGGTGCCTGCTGAGCCTAACACTGTCACCAGCTACCTTCGAGCTGAGTGATTACGGTTGCTTTTATATTCTCATTTCCTATACTTTGTAAAAAGAACATTACTTGTGTAATCCAATTAAACATGTTAAATACCAAGAGGAGAAGGTTTATTATAAGGTCTATTGCCACAATGTGCAAAGCACAATACATTAAACCACCTTTTAAAATCTGATGTGTTGAGGACAGTGCATTATTCATTATATAGTTGAGTCATTAATACACTAATGGTTATTATCATAATGAAAGTAAGTTTCACAGCGCAAATACCAAGCACCCCACAAAATGCTGGTGAGTGGGTTGGGTGCTTAAGGGTACAAGAGAGGAGATATCTCTTATGATTCATGCAAGGCCTGAGGAAATGGACAGAAAAGTTTACCTCCTTTGGTCATTTATACTGTAAGTCCAGCAGCATGGCCAGCTGCCTTGGGTGCCACTCATGTCAGATTTCTAACACTAACGGTGTTAATAAGGAGCCTATGCGTGGGTGCAGCCCTTCCTGGCTAAACTGGCTAGAGATAGTCTTATTCTGATGACAACATGCTCCTAATCATGCTTACTATGTGTTCCATGAACTCTTTCCATCCTTGCAACAGCCTTAAGCAGTGGGTTTTGTGATGACCTGTTTTGCAGATAGGAACACTGGGGTATAGGGGTTTAAAGCTACTAAGTAGTAGAGCTGGGATTTGAACCCAGGAGGTCTGGCTCTCAGCCCGTAATCTTAACCTCCATACTCTGCTCTCCAGTGAAGCCTGCTCCCTGCCCCCATGGGACTCAACTAGGAGGCAATAATGATGTGGGCACCTCGAGGCTGGAAGCTCATGCACCATCTCAGGTGTAAACCCACATCACTCCTTCGCATGCTGACTTCACCTGCCCTCAATTCTTGGTTCAAACTGTCAGCACAGCCTAAAGTATCCTGTCCCTTTCTTACCCCTTCCCCAACAATTCTCTCTCCTCCTCTGAGATGCCTCCCACAGCCCCCCTGGGACACTAACCCCAATCACCTGAAGGATGGATTTATGTCTGCCTCTGTCTTCCCCTGTTAAACAAGGACCCTGTGCTGCTCATTTCTAGTCACTGGTACTAAATACCAGACTATCTAGGTTGACACAACCCACTGAGATGTGATTGCAGAAACATTGTTTCAACCTGCAGGGTAAAGTTGTTGCCTTGGAATGGGTTTTAGGTACAGCCTGGGGTGGGAGGGGGGTGCGGGGCGGACAGTATAGGAGGGGAAAGATCACGGAGTGCTAGCCCTGAGATTGGTGATATTTTAGCTGCGGTCTTGGACTTGCCCCTTCCTCCTCTCTGGACCTCAGTTTATCTGAAAATGGGGAAATGGCTGGACACCATGATCTCTAGAGTCTTTCCCAGTCTGAACGCTCTCTGTCTGGGGAATTACAGTTCAGTAAGGCACTCTTCTAGCCCTGAGTGGGGTTGCAAAGCGACTCCAAGAAGCGACTCCAAGCCCTGTCCTCACCGGCTTTCCTCGCCCTCCAGCAGTTTGCGATAAGTGGCAATCTCCACATCCAGGCCCAGCTTGGAGTTCATCACCTCCTGGTACTCCTTGAGCAGGCAGGCCATGTCCTGCTTGGCCTTCTGCAGGGCGGCCTCGAGCCCGGCCAGCTTGCAGCGTGCATCGCTGATGGCCGCCTCACCCTGTTGCTCCGCCTGGGCCACAGCAGCCTCCAGTTTGCAGCGCTGGGAGAAGGAAAGGAGGGAAGGAGCTGGAGAAGGGACCAGGCTGTGGGAGCCCTGATGGGTCTCCTATAGCCTTGGTCATCCTATTTTGCCTCCATTCAAAATGGTCAACTTGGAAATCAACTAGACAGAGAAATAATTGCTTTCTTCCTTCATTTCTGTACCGCTTTATTGTAAAACTCAAGTCCATGGTGAGCTGTTAGAAGGAGAAAATGTTAGCACAGGAATAGGACTGATAATGATTAGTGCCATTGTCTTATATTTGTTTACTGTTGTTAGTTTACAAGGCACTTTCACAGTTGTTATCTTATTTGCCCTTCAAGTTACTCTGCAAGCTTGTCAGAATAGGCCTTGTTATTCCCATTATACAGATGAAGAAACTGAGATTCAGAGAGGCTATGACCTGTTCTAAGCAACCCAATTAATTAATGCCAAGCCCAGGTTTTCAGAGGCAACTGTACGGGGTCTCATCTTTGGCCCACTGAGATCAGCCTGCTGAAAGAAGTTTCCATTTACAATGCCTAGCACACTAACCACAGCTCCTCCCTTGGCCCTACCTAAGAAAACTCTTATAACTTGATAGCAAAGAATACAAATAACCTGATTTTTAAAATGGGCTAAAGATGTAAATAGACATTTCTCCAAAGAAAACATAAATAGCCAACAGGTATATGAAAAAAAGCTCAACATCACTGATCATCATGGAAATGAAAATCGAAACCACAATGAGAATCTCCTCACACCTGTCAGGATGGCTATTATCAAAAAACCAAGACAAGGGTTAATGAGGATGTAGAGAAATTGGAACCCCTTGCACACTGTTGGTGGGAACGCAAAATGGTGTAGCCATTATGGAAAGTAGTGTGGAGGTTCCTCAAAACTTTAAAATTAGAACTACCACGTGATCCAGCAATCACACTTCTGGGTATTTACCCAAAAGAACTGAAATCAGGATCTCTAAGAAATGTTAGCCACCCTCTGCTCGTAACTACATGATTCACAGTAGCTGAGATGTAGAAGCAACCTACATGTTTGTGGACACATGAATGGGTAAAGATGTGGTACAGACAGACAATAGAACACTATTTAGCACTTAAAGAGAAGAAAATTCGGCAATATGTGACAATGTAGATGAACCTTGAGGACATTATGCTAAGTAAACAGGCCAGACACAGAAAGATAAACACTGTATGATTCCACTTATATGTGGTATCTAAAATAGTCAAATTCATAGACTCCAAGTGGAATGATGGTTGCCAGGGCTGGGGAAAAGGGGGAATGGGAGGTTACTAATCAATGGACCTAAAGTTTCAGTTATGCAGGATAAATAAGGTCTAGAGATCCACTGCACGACACTGTATCTGTAGTCAACAATAATGTGTCGTACACTTACAAATGTGTTGAGAGGATAGATCTCATGTTGAGTGTTCTTACCAAATAAAATCAACCCTTTTTAAAAGCATATCAATGTCCAAGTGAAGATAACTTCGACTCTTCTCTAATTTCACTTCCGGAAAGTCAACCTTTCCCATATCTCACTTCCTCAGCTGTTAACAGTAACAAAGTACTTGTAATACATCTTACATAGTGGATAAGAACAGCTAACAGAAGGGAGAGAATAGGAATTGAGCTGGGGATATGTGAGAACTCAGTGTTATGATAGGGGTAGTATCACAAGCCCATGATTAAAGAATGAATTATATAATATCTTTTCTTACATGTAGAAAATTTTAATTAGAACTCTACTCCCTGTATATACAAAAAAATTAATTTCAGACAGATTAAAGACCTGAGTGTGAAAGGTAAAACTATGTAACTAGTAGAGGAAAAAATGTAAGAAGATACCTTTATGACCTCAAATTTTCATACGTATGAACCATTAAGGTAAGAATTGATGGATTTGGCCATATCCAGGCTAAAGATTTCTGTTCGATAAAGGACACCAGAGCAAAGCACACAGATATTAATGGGAGCATGTATAACTGACAAAGGGTTACAGTCTAGATAGAACGGACAAGAAAATACTGCAAATCACCAAGAAGACAAGAATTACAACAGAAAAATGGGCAGATGACATGAATAGGCAATTCTTAGAAGGGGAAATACAAAGGAGTAAGTGTATGTGGAAACATTCAACATCACTAGTTAACAAGAGAAATAAAAACGCAGATAATCAGATTCTGGTTTACACCTACTAGATCCATAAGAATTTGTAAGTCCGATAATACTACATGTGGGAACAGAAGCCCTCGTGTGCTGACAGTGGGAGTGTATACTGACACAGCACTCCGCAGGTATTTATGGAAAGTAAATAAGTGAATATCTTACAACTCAACAATTTCATTCCTTGCTGTATACCTGCAAAGCATCTCTCATGTAGGTGCACGTGAGATGTGTATTAAAATGTTCATGATACTACTGACCGGTTGTATTAGAAAAGATTTGGAAGTAAACTAAATATCCAACCTAAACTATGGTTTAGGACTGTTATAGAATTCCATTAACAGAAATAATGAAACAGGTCATCTATAGCAACATGCATGGATTTCAAAGACATAATGCTAACTGGCAAAGGGAAGAATCAGAATGAGATTTATGGTACAATATCATTATGTAAATTGAAAACACTAAAAAGTTTATAAAGATATATTTTAAAGTACATATGCATATATATGTAAATATATGTATGAAAGAGGACAATAAGGACATATATTAAATAGATAAACCAGTCCTGTCCCTAAAACATTTTGTGCGCTGTTGGTCCTTCAGATGCAGGTTGTTAAAATCTAAGCCCTGCCAAAGACAGCAGCGGCCCCTAAAGGTAAGGAGAAAGCAGAAAGCAGATCAGAAGCAGCAGGTGCACCCAGTGGGGTCTCAGTGTTCCCCGACCTGCTGCTTGGCGTTCTCCACCTCTGCCGTCAGCCTCTGGGTCATGCGATTCAGGCCGTTGAGCTCCTCCTTGGTTCTGCGGAGGTTCTCACTCTGCTGGGTCACTGTGGCCTTCATCTCCTCACACTGTGGGTTGGAAGACAGACGTGGGGAAATATTCAATGATCACGACATGGTTGTAGGGTGTGCTGGGAGGTCACTGGTCCCACCCTGCCCAGATTAGCCGGCGTACTTACTGTTCTTCAGCAATAGTCCCACCTGCTTCCCCTGCTCTGAACCTAGAACCTTTGTTGCAGCCCTCTGAGCATCTGGGTGCCTTTCCCAGGGAAGCCCCAGGTTCATGGCTATCCTCCCTGCCCAGGGAGGCAGCCCAGCCCTCCAGTTCACCTTGGTTTGGTACCAGGACTCAGCCTCGGCCCTGCTGCGGCTGGCCACATCATCATACTGAGCCTTGATCTCAGCCATGACCGAGTCCATGTTGAGCTCCCGGCTGTTGTCCATCTTCACCACCACCGACGTGTCAGAGATTTGTGACTGAAGAACATAGATTTCCTGTAGGAGACAACAGCCAGGGCCCTCAGCTCCAAATTCCCCTCTGACTCCTGTCTCTCTAAGTAATCCAAAAATATAATTTCAACTCTGAAACTTTAGGAAATAAATTAGAAAGCTACTGGCAAGTCAGAAGAATTTTACATGTAGCTGTAAGAGGAAAAGGCTGGAATTTGGACCATGGCCTCAAGGCAGTGAGTAAGGTGGAATTTCATTAATGCTGGATCAATAGAGGCAGATTTCTATGGGAAGGAACAAACTGGATTACTGCGCCTGGGGCCTAAACTCTCCAGATCAGCTCTCTGTATGAATCCAGCCAACCAGATAATGGTCAGATTTAGAGTCCTGGGTTTTCTAATTGTGTGTCACACTATAATTGTCATTATATCTGTATAAATATTCTTATATTGTCAAAACTCCAATTCATGTAGTGCTGTGTAGACAGGCGATGAATTATAGTCTTTCAAATCATTTTAAATGGACATTATCCATTCTCATTTTGAAAGGAAACCCTAACTACAGAAAATCTCCTTGGTCACAAAAGGAAAGGATGTGGAGATCCTAGACGAGTAAAGAATGGACGACTCTTCCTAGAACCAAGGAACCAGGACAAGCCATACCCCAGGAAAAAACTCCTCCATCTCCTCCCTCACTTACTCTTCCGGAGACAGGGAGACTCACCTCCTCATAGAGAGCCTGCAGGAAGTGGGTCTCCTCCTTCAGTGCCTCCACATTGGCCCCCAGGTCGGCCTTGTGCAGATAGGCGCCATCTATATCCTGGTGGCGAAGACAAGGGAGGGTGGCCATGGGGTCATTCCCTGCACTCTACAGTGGACCCTAAGGCTGCCTCCTGGCCCATGCCCCGCCCCTGCCCGTCTAACCCACAATTACATGTCTAACCTAGACTTCTCGTCTTCACCTTCAGAGGCCCTCTAGGAGGGACAGGGCCTTTGTTATCTACCCCTGACATTGCTCCCCTACAGACTTTTTTTCCAGTTCCTCTAAAATTGGGGCTTTTGCTGAATCACATAGCCTAACATCACAGCCCAAAGCATCAGGCTGCTGCTAAGCCAGACTGGCCCACGGAGCATGACCACGAGGGGGCCAAAGAGCCACAAGTGCGCCTCCTTGGTACGTCATCCTTGGCGCCCGCATCAGGCAACACCCAACACCCAAGTAGCTGACTCTCCTGCCTGAGACCAAGATCATGCCCCTATTGGCAAGTTTTTTAACCAGCCCTCTCTCCATTCCATGACTACTCACAAATAAGGTGGTTGGTAAGCACCTTATTTGTGAAAAAGTATTAGTATACACTTCAACTCACCAATTTGAAACCAAAGGGAAATTATTAGCCATTTTTCCTCTGTTTTTTTTTTTTTTCTTTTCATTATCTGCAATTGCACTGAATGAGGGCTATAGCTCACAAAATCACTAGCAAGCCGAGAACAAACACATCCCGACCTGGCGAATTCAAAAGTGATCATTTTGGCTAATCAGGGAGATTATAAACAGCCAAACGGCAGTTTGATGAGGTCGTTTTTATATAAAGCCTCCATTAGCACGGTCTGGGTTCCTGCACAGGGGCCACAATGGCCCAACCAAACTCTTTTTGTTGGGGGACTCGAGTGCCCTGCCACCACAACTGGACCAATGTGACCTTGGCAAGATGCCCCATCTCAGAGCGTCCAGTGTCCAAGAATTAATTGCTCGCCATGTGGAAAGAGTCACTCACCTTCTTCAGCACCACGAACTCATTCTCAGCAGTGGCCTTGAGGACCACCTCTTCTTCATACCTGAGGAGAGAGAACACACCGCCCCTCAGGCTTGGGGCCATGCGCTGGCCAGCAAACCCTAGGTTTTCAAGACTCCCTGGTTCTGCCCTTGACTATGTGTGCCTCGAGGGGAAGAGGCTTGGCCTCTCTGGACTCCTATTTCTCAGGCACAAAAAAAAAAGGAAAAAGAAAAAAGAAAAACACCAAAGGACAATGGACATGAAGTCTCTGGTTTCTAGTCAAAGCTTGGAAGTGAAGTTATTGCAAAACCTCAGGGAGTCATTTACTCTTTCTGCATCTTGGGTTAAATTGCCTGGTGTGCAGTAAGGCACTCAGTAAATTTGTGAGATGAATGAAAAGCACGTGCTCCAGGGGTCCTTCAACCCTAAAACTGCACAAAACATAAAGCTCCGTGAACTCCAGGACATTCTCTTTCCCCTCCCCCAACTTCCAAGGACTTGAAATCCTGGAGGCAACCCACTCTGCCCGGACTACTAGTAAGACTTCCACAGCCCTCCTCCAGCCTGGTTTTTCCTTTGCTCTTGGCAGCGAGGTCTGATGTCTGGCCAAGCCCCATTCAAGGCAACGAGAGAGACCAGAGTTCCCAGAGCATGGTTTTCACAGCTTCGTAATTACAGGGAATTTGGGCTGCTATAAACTCTGAACTCTGTAATTACTGGCCCGGTATCCCCAGAGTAAGAAACAGATTTTGACACCTACAAACAGAATTGTGTCTGAATTTGCATCCCCCGCCTCAAGGAAAGTAAAAACCCATTGCTGAGTCCACCTGGATGGTAAAACCTGATCTTCCAAGACCAGAATTTTAATTACTTCCAATTAGAATTACTAGGGCTGATTATGTCCTAGTAATTCACTCTGTTCTTATCTGCCAGATAAAGTGGGACAAGTTAACAGTGATGAAGTGAGCAAAACTAGGTAACGGCCAAATTAAGCAAGTCAGGTTAAAATAAGATTTATGTGGACCTTTGAATTGTACAGCCTTGCAGAACAAGAGCTCAATGATTTATCTTCAGTATAAATAAAAGAACTCTCTACAATCATAAGATATCTTTAATGGCATCGGTCTGTTTTTGTTTGTTTGTTTGTTTGTTTTGTGTTTTGTTTTTTTCAAGATTTTTCTTCCAGGACCTTTCCTTTCCACCCATCCTGGGGCCAACCACTCCCAAGTTCTGCTCTCTAGCCCTATTGATCTTAGTCCTTCTGTTTCATTTGTCCTCTAACTCTGGGTCAGTCTGTGGCCTGGATATATGTCTCACTCCTTCAAGGCTGGTATGTCTCCTCTCTAAATCTTTTCCCAGTCCCCAGGATGGGCCAGCGAAGCTGGGAGCCGAGACAAGATGAAGCAGACTGATATAGTGAACCAACTGACTGGTAGACTGGAATGACATTGGCCTTCAGCCATGTCTACCTCCAGGAGAGTTGTATGGACTAAGCCAAGACATACCCCACTCCTATAACCACCCCCAGCCCTGTCATGCTCACTTCTTCTTGTAGCCCTCCATCACCTCCTGCACGTGGTTGAGCTCTGAGGCCAGCCTCCCGCTGTCGGCCTCCGCGCACTCGGCCTCCCGCCTCAGCGTCTCGATGTAGCCCTCGAACAGCGGCTCCAGGTTGCTCTCACAGCACTTGCGGTTCTGGTAGAACTGCCACTTGGTCTCCAGCAGCTTGTTCTGCTGCTCCAGGAAGCGCACCTACAGCCCAGGGTGGGGGAAAGAGACTCAGGAGGAGTCTGGGGAGGTGCCTTATCCCCAAGAATTCTCTCTGCCCTTGGGGATGGCCCCTGACCTGTAGCAGCCTGTGACCTTCCCCCAAAGGCCAAATCATTTACAAATTCTGAAAGTACAGTTAATAATTATTCCCCAAATAACTTCCCCTCATTCCATCCCCGTCTCCTGGAAAGAGCACACAATTTATTTATGATTTATTTGTTCTGCACAGAATGAAATAACATCTGATCCTGTAAAATATCACAGACCGTGTGTGGTAGGCCAAAAATAGCCTCTCAAACGTGGCCATATCTTAATTCCTCTAACTTGTGAATTTGTTACATTACATGGAAAAGAGATCTTGGGGATAGAATTAAGGTTATAGACCTAAAGATCAGGAGATTACCCTCAATTATCCAGATGGGTCCTACAGTAGTCACATGGGCCTTTCAAAGGAAGAGGAAGGCAGAAGAGTGAGAGAGATGCTGAGAAGAAGCGGGGAGAGATTTCGAACATAAGAAGCAAGAAGCACTCGACCACCATCACCAGCTTTGAAGATGGAGGGAGGAGGGGTCATGAGTCAAGGAATGCAGGAAGCCTCTAGAAGCTAAGAACAACCCTTCCACCTCATACCTTCCCATCCCCGTCAACCAGCCAGCAAGGGAACAAGGACCTCAGTCCTATAGTCAGGTGGAATTCAATTCTGCCAAAAACCTGACTGTCCCTGGAAACAGGTCTCCCTCAGGGCCTCCAAAAGAAATGCAGCCCTGCCAGCAGCTTGATTTCGGCCTTATGAGATAATAAATTTGTGTTTTTTAATCTGCTAAGTTTGTGGGCATTTTTATGGCACGGATTTAAAAATGCAACCTCCTCACTCTGACTCCAGGGTGCGGGAGCCCAAGAGGGCAAACCCTGGACCAAGAGTTAAGAGGCTTCTGACTGTCTGCCTCTGCCACCAGTCAGGCCTCTGTGTCTCATTGTCTCTGAGCCTCACTGAGGCAGCGAGAATACATCAGCAATTTACACTGACAGCCAGCCCCCAGGCCCTATCTAGCCCACAGGCATATTTTACTTGGCCTGCACATAGTTTTATAAAACTTGATTAATTGCCAACATTTAATAATTAAGTGACTTCAGGCAAGAATCTGGATTTCCCTGACCTTGACAAACCGGACACTCAGGTAATGCTGGGCTTGTGTCTGGAGGTGAGTGGCAGCAGCTGCCCCGGAGACAGGCATGCCTCTCAGCTTGGCTTCATTCACCAGGCACCATGCAGCTGCCAGCCCTAAGCCTAGTATAAAGCAACTCTCCATGGCCCGTGCTTTTGGGAAAAGGAACCAAAATCCTGATTATTCAAAAAGGATCTGCCTTAGGTCTCCATATGCAGACCCAAGTAGTGGGAGCAGGTCTCTGGCCTGCCTGCTCTACAGGTTTAAACCTGCCACATGGGTGTACTTTGCACTCCTAGAGCTTATTCTGATAGAAGAATGATGGAAGGAGGTGAGTGCTGTCAGCATCCCCAGGGGAGGGACCCGGGTGATATCCAAAAGACCACATGCAAAGATGCCTTTGAGTCTGCGTGCTTAGTGTCTTCACTGTGCTTTTGAGCAAATTAGGAAAATGCGCCCCTCTAGGCAGATGCAGCCCCCCACCCACCACCAGGGCACACAGCACAACTAGCAGAACATGGGCTGAATTTCAACCTCCCCCTCATCTCTCTTGGTGGGTGTCCCTGTGTTGTGAATAACCTGCATGATCCTACGTCAGCTTCTTTGTGCCAATGGAAAGGAAGAGTGGTTTGGAGCAGGTTAAGAATGGATGCACATCACCTTCACTTGCAGATGTGCCTATTTCTGATGGTGGTGTTTGTCTGAGAGCAAAGCTCCCACCCACACCACCCGGTGTGCACTTTCTGGGTATAGAACGCACACTACTCCACTCTGGAAGATGAGCCTTTCCTCCATTGGACCTCAGTGGCTGTCCTCCCCTAACGGTCAGATTGCAGGCTCTCAGAGGCGGCATCGGGGTCAAAGAAAACCAGAGCTGTATGTCTAACCAGAAGAAGGGCTCAGAAACTGCAACATCGGAAAAGTGTGACTCAACAGCCCCTCCGCTGACCTCCCTTAAGTTTCTCAACTCAGTGTCTTTACTCTATGTAAGTGGGTTGGGGTGGAGGATGATGTGGATAGAAGTCCTGGGGATTCACAGCCTTCCTCTGCTGTCCCCACCAGGAAAGAGCAGGAAAGGAGGTTCTGGCCCCTCTTCATCCTGGCTCCCCTCTCCGTACTAGGGATGACAGCATCTCCTCCAGGAAGCGGGTCAGACTAAGCAGAGATGCCCAGCTCACCTACCCTCCTCACTGTGTGATGGCTGAGATTCAGAGGATGGGGTCCCAGGCACACATTCAGCTCTTGCTGGGCAGGGTAAGCGGCAGCCACAAACCTTACTGTTCTGGCTGGTGGCTTTACATTCATCTCGCATTTGACTCTCAGAGCAACATTTGAAAATCAAGACCCTCATTCAGCCACATTCTCAAGGCCATGTGCTAATCGGTCGCAGCACTGGGACCCCAAGAATTTGAACCTGGCCCATCATTGCGTTTCAAGTCCCTTGGCCCTTCCTAAGCCACAGCACCAGGGGACAATCGACAGACCCACCTTGTCGATGAAGGCAGCGAACTTGTTGTTGAGACACTTGATCTGCTCCTTCTCCTCGTGCTTCACGCACTGCGCGTTGGGGTCGATCTCCAGGTTGAGGGGCGTGAGGAGGCTCTCGTTGACCGACACGGTGGTGATGCAGGGCGGGCTGGGCCCGCAGAGGCCCCCTGCCCGGTAGCCAAAGATTCCTCCACTGTGTAGGGGCCGTGCACAACTCACTGCGATTCGTGGGGATCCCACTGCACACAGGCTCCGGCTGCCAAAGCCCCCAAGGCGCCTGTAGCCCAGCCCCGCAGGACTGCCCCCACGGTAGGCCATGGCACTGGCACAGCTGCGAGCCCCAGGCTTGGGCATGACGGCGGAGCAGGAGCTGAAATTCCTGATTCCGTAGCCAGAGCTGATGTGATAAGAACGGCTCGCCATGCCTCTGCTCTGCGGGGCAGTGCCAAGGGAAGTGGAGGGGACCCAAGGACACCAGGTCTCGCACCAGAGACTGGTTTAGTGTTTCTGCCTTTTATAGGGCAGACAACAGGTCTCCTGACAACATAAAAGGCAAGAGAAAGTTATTAATGCCATTTATGAGCGTGAGAATCACCCCCAGGGGAAACTTGAGAAGGAAAACTGAAACTTGCCACCTTTAATAGCGTATCAAGGAGACCCTGCATCCCAATAAACCTGCCCCCTGACTGTTCAAGCCCACAGGCCTAGACATATTTATTTATTTAACCATAATTGCTCTCTAGCCCTGTGAGTAGACCTCACATCATTATCCTACATAGGCAAGTAGAGGCCTGGGCCAACACATTCCTGACACTCAAAAGGTCCCATGTCCCACCAAGGCCCCACCGGCCGGCTCTTCCCATGTTTCCCCTCTGAGGCTGCAAGGACCCCTGGCTCATCACCCAGGGCGAGCACATGTGGAGTGAGCCTCTTCAGACCTTTCCCTGTTATTGCTCTGAGCCACATTCCATTTTATAGTAGAGTCGTTGCAGTTGGTACTGCCCCCTGGATTCAGGAATCATGTCTTATCTCTGTGCACATCCCTCGTGGCAACTAGCGCATATTAGGTCCTCGGGAAGCATTGCTTGAATTGAAAATACTGAACACAGGAGGGAATGGCCAATATCTGGAGAGGTTCTTCATCTAGTCTACAAATATCAGCCAACACTCTATGATGTGCCAGGCCCAGGAGCTGGCCTGGAGGAGGTGCCTTCATTCACTGGCAAGTGCTGAGGTCCCACCAGAACAAGGCGATAATCTAGATGCTGAGGGAAATCAAGCTGGGTGGGCAAAGTTTGCCCTTGAGGAAGCTGGGTCTCATGGGGAGACCAGACACAGGGAGGAAAGATCCACGACAAGAGAGAGAAAGATGACTGATCAGATACAGGGAGGGAGTGCTCCTGGCTTTCTGAGGCCATTCATGGCTGGCCACAGAAGCACAATTCTCACGGTAGCTCTTGCCGGTAGGGAAGAGTTGAGTGTGCAGGAAGAGGAGAGAGCTCCTTCGCGGTGGATGCACTGAACAAAGCAAGCAAAATAGAAACCAATTTGAAAACTGATGCTCTGGAAGGGGCCCACCTCATGCTGGTCTCTATTTGTTTCTTTCTTTCATTCGACAACTGTTCATTGAGTACCTACTATATGCCAGACATCATATAATGAGCAGGGGATACATCGGTGAATAAAACAAAGATGTATACTTTTGTGGGCTTCCTTTGCAGTGGGAGATATCAACGATAAACTTAATAAATGAATAGACTGTACGTTAGGTGGTGATAAGTGTTATGAAAAAAAGAAATAGAACAGGATAAGAAAACTCAGGAGAGCTAGGAGAAGGGTGGTCTGAAGAGCTTCACTGAGAAGATGACACTGGGCAAAGATTTTGAGGAGGTAAGGGGATGAGCCATGTAGGCAGAGCAAAGAGCCGGTGCAAAGGCCCCAGGTGGGAACAGGCTTGATGTGTTCCCACCAGGAGCAAGGAAGCCCCCGTGGTCTGAGTAATGAGAGCCAGTTCCGAGTACAAGCGAGTTCGGGAGGTACGGGGAGGGAGATTATCCGTGCCAATTAGGGAGGGCCAGCAGGCCATGTGAGGACTTAAGCTGCCATTGAGTGCAGAGTGGAGCTTTGGGGGCTCTGTGCAGAAGATGAACATGACCTGACATGATCACACTGTTGAATGATCACAGTGATGTAATGGCTGCCTGGAAAACAGACTGTAAGGGAGGAAACAGTGAAAGAAAAGAGAAGGGTCAGGAGGATCTTGCAGTAATCCCAGGGAGATGCCAGAAGCTCATGCCAGGAAGGAAGCCCTGGACAATGTAAGAGGCGGCCACCTTTGGATGGAATTCGAAGAGCCAATCCGATTTCTTGACAGATTGGATTTGGAGTGTGAAAAAAAGGAGAGGTCGAGGATGCCTCCACACTTTCTCATGGGTTAAACTCATCTCCACAACAAAGTTAATCAGTGGTAGAGCGAGGAAAATGCCAAGGCTATCACCCCAAATGTTTGACCTAAGCTCTGCCGACTCTGCAACCTGGCACAAGGTACCTACCCTTTCTGGTCTCCAGTGTTCCCAATGGTGCATGCAGGAGTTAGGCCAAATACCTTTTTGTTGGAAATCCTTTAGAGTCCATCATTCCACTGGGCCCAATAGATGATAGATGATGATGATGATGAAGATTAGATAGATAGATAGATAGATAGATAGATAGATAGATAGATAGATAGATAGACAGATAGAGACATAAATCACTTCATCAATTTTCAGCACCACACATGAGTCTATAAAAGTTCTTTTACCTTTTTTGAGAGTCTTGGTGCAGTCATTTTGTCAACTCAGACATGGCAAAGGAGGTATGACTGTGTAAGTTTTGTTTTGTTTTGTTTTGGTGCAGCCCCTCTGTGCAAATCTCCATGCAGAAGAATACCATATAGAGTTGGCATCATTCTTGGAAGGTGCTCTGGTGAAAGTGAATTAATTGGGCGGGAGTGAGCTCTGGAAGAGGGGTAGGGAGTCCTGGAGAGTGATAAGAAAATATTAAGATCAACTTTGATCTACAGATTAATTATCCAGGTGTTAATTTCTTGCCATTATTGTCAAATCTGCTTAGTTACCTCCTATGTTATGTGTTTCCATCTATACACATTCAGTCCTCCTGCCAGGTGGGAGGGACAAGTTCTGACTGCACTTTTCCTCGTGTACACTGACCACCCTGGCAGAAACAACCTTCTGCAGAATTGTCCTTCGTACATCACGTGAGCCGTGTTATCATTTTGAAAAGTGCCCTCTTACCAGGTGTGACAATCAGGAAGTCACCATCTCTCCAACCTCAGGACTCCCCTTTGTTCCACAAGTACCAAGATTTCTGACAATCATTCCCCATCATTTCTAGAAGGTCTTTCAGTCTCCCTAGAACGTAATGTTATCTGAGCCCAAGGCCTTCAAAACACTGAGATGCAACCTCACTATCATGGCCCTGACCTTCAGCTATCACCTTCTGACTATCTCATGCTTTTTCAAGTCCACTCTTGGATTTCTCACTGACATCATCAATATTACGAGGGTATCTCCCAAAATAAAAACCCAGAAGGGAAGATCTCAACTTGAATCTTCTGCTGTGCTCAGCTCCTGAAGGACAGTTGGCAATTCCCGGCTCGATTCTTCAGCTGGAAAACTACCAGGGCTGGAGTGTGGGAGGCCCTGTCAAGAGAGAATCCAGCTGTGAGTGAGCCTGTTCACACCCACCCAGACAGCCCTGCTATGCATTTGTCTTTGACAGCAAGCCTTTCCCGAGCACCTGAATGTGTCTGGAAGGGTATCATGGCCACATGAGCTGGTGCTTTGTGGCTTAGGACTGCATGGTGGCCACTGAATAACCTTCCTCTCCCCTTCATCCATGAGTCCTTGGCTTGGCCTCTCTCATTCACTCATCCATTCATTCAACAATTAATTATCAAGCATCTGGGTGTCGGGCATTGCACTAGATGCTGGAGACACCAAGACAGGCCAGAGCCGATCCTTGCCCTTGAGTAGCTCACAGCCTACTGGTCACAGTGGAAAATCAGTGTGATAACAGACATGTACAAAGATACCTGGCTCTGTTAAAAGAAAATGGGCCCTGAACCCTGTCTGGAGTTCCCAAACCCAAGGGATAGTGTGCGCAAAGGGATGGAGGTATGAGCAAGGATGATCCAGTCCAGGAAGTGCAGCTCATTGAGTATGGCTGAAGCGCAGGGTGTCCCTTGCGGAGTGATGAGAAGTGAGGTTGGAAACACTTAGGTAGGGCTGAAACGTGAAGACCTGTGTGCCCCTCCCAGGAGTTTAGGCCTTGTCCCGTCAGCAGTGGAGAGTTTTCCTCTGATAGCGACATGCAGGGGTGGGTGGGGCAGGATGAATAGTGATAAATGACGGATGCATGGGAGGAAGGTGACTGAATGTACGATCAGATCAACTCAGCAGTGAGGTGAAGAAAAAATTGTGGGAACATAAAGGAGGCAGAAAATCTAGTTGGCAGCTATCGCATGAAAGGAAATGCAAAGTAACGTGAGCCTGAACTAAGATAGTGTGGGAGGAAATGGAGAAGAAATGGGAAGAATCATGAAGTATGAGAGGGTTTGTCAATTTATTGGATGTGGGGGGAGAGGAAAGGAGTCCACATGATGATTCTCAGGTTGGCGGCTTATGCGAGAGACTGAAAGGTGGTGCCAGTCTCGCTACAAGGAGAATGGGAAGAAGTGCAGGTTTGGCCTGGTGGGTGGGGACCTGAGCTCCATGTGGTTATGCAGAAGTTGAGATGCCTGTGGGACAACAAGACGGAGAAAAAGAAAACACAACCCGGTGTTGAGTGTTCACAATGGATAGAACATGCTCAGTGCTTTCTATGTATTGGCTGCACTAATCTTCCTAAAATCCCCGCAGAGGTAAGTGTCAACCAGGATGGGCTAGGCTTTTTGGTGACAACAAACAGCTCCAAAATCTCTGTAGCTTAAAATGACAGCGTTTACACCTGACTCATTCTAAACATCCACTACAGTTGCCTGAAGACTGATGGAGTAACCACTACCTGAGACAGCTCCAGTTGCGAGGGTGGAGGGACAGAGAGGTCTGAAGGGCCATCCTGCCAAACACTCAGGAAAGGAGAGACCTAGAACTACCTGGCAACCAGCACTAGTGATAGTGCTAGAAGA